GATGATGTGACGGCAGCCATAGTGCGCCAGAACGCTCCCCACACACCAGCTCTCAGTGGGGAGGAGAGCAGAGGAATGTAGCCAATTCATAGAAGGGGATTATTAGGAGGCCATGATTGGTAAGGGCCAATGGGAAATTTGGCCAGGACACCGGGGTTACACCCCTACTCTTTTCGAGAAGCACCCTGGGATTTTTAATGACCACAGAGAGTCAGGACCTCAGTTTTACGTCTTTGATACCTCAGTATCAGTAACTTTGATACCTCCACTTTTAAAAATGTTTAAGAAGTGATTTTATCCCAGCATGGCATGTTTTATTTTTGTTGATAAATATTTTAATTTAAATCTTTCCTTTATAAATGATTCAATAAAATGTGACTCACTTGTTTTAAGCTATGTATGTTATCTATTGTAAATACTTAATCCATATTTTAAGTTTAGAAATTTGCAAATAAGATATTTATTCTCAGGTATACAGTATGTATGTGACATACGATGTTTCCTAATATAGTCTGCTGTTCATGTGTGCAAAATAAAGCCATACAACTATTTTAAAAGTTGCTTGGCTGTTGCAGCCACTTAAAACTTAAATAAATACACAGGACAACATATAAGAACATTAAACAAATATGCATCAGCTATAGCCTTTCAACAAGGCCTAATTTGACCCTGAACCATAAGTGGTAACCCAATCCAGTTCCAAGCCTTTGTTTTCCAATGATGTTTCAGGACAGGGACGCTACAAAAAGCCAAAAACCAAAGTTTCACTTCTGCTGTGAATGCTAGGGCAGAGGCTGTTTTGTTCAAGAGCGAAACTGTCACTGTGCAGCACTGTGCTGGCACGTCAGTTCTCACAAGTTCACGCGAAGACCTGTTTTTCCTCAGTGGCCGTTTAATTCAGCATTTGAAAGTAACCACACTTCTTGTTTTTTCATAGGCAGTCAGGAGAACTTTTAGTGGTAAAGATAAACACCCCGTGTGTGGCTCTTTTCAAGTCGGCCCGTCTTTAATAGCTTTCCGCCATGCCTGTTCACATTTTTGCCAAAGTGCCAGATCAGTTCAGGCACACAGCTGCACTGTTTGCACTTTCTCAGTTTTCACAGTGACACACCTCTGATCCTTGTCTGACTGAGCAGTGACTAAGCCCTGGCAGAGTTGTAATCTGTACGGCAACTTGGCAGAAATCCCAGCTTCCCCAGCTCTTTAAAAACAGCTTTATCGTGAGGTGAAGTTGCCAGGCAACCTGTCCAAATGAAGACCTTGCAAGTCTTAATAATTCATTATAAATTAAGCTTTTATTACAGTACTTTGGATTGTCTGATTGGCTTACGGGGGATTCTACAATGGAGGCTGAAATAAAGGATATTTCTTTAAAGAAAGGATGAGAGACTATTTAGACAATTGAAGGACACAATTGAGTGATGGGCTAAATGAATAACTTCTTCAGATGTTAATCCGAGTTCTGTAATTAATATTTAATTAGAAGTTACAGAAGTTTTGCAGGTACTTAGTTGAAACTTAGGTGGAATCACCTCAAACAAATTTGATGGTGGCCTGATGGTATCCTATCAATT